ACATGTCATATAATCCTGGTGTTTGTCAGTTTACACAATCTAATGGTAAGATTAATAAAGCTCAGTCTCTGTCGTGTTCATCAGTTGGAAGTAAATCAATTCCACTTTATCAAGCTGGTCAACCTATTGAACAGGTTAGTTTATTATTTGATGTTGATAAATGCATTGTTTCTAAATATAAGTGAATGTGTTGTATTTTTTGCTTCGTTCTAGTAAATGATTCCTCAGGAATAATTATCCATGAAGCACCACAGATCGATCAGAAGGATGTAAAGCCTTTAAGTCCCGAATTTCCTGTATTCGAATATTCAATAGGTTATAAGCGCGCACTGCTGGAAAGTCCTATACACGGACTAAACGGTTTTTCAACGGTTCAAACATAAATATTGAGTTCTGCTGGTCAATGTGCCTGTTCTAAGTACCTTAAATTACTGTTAACTAAGATTACTCATGTTATATTTATTAGCAATAATATATATCAGCCACCCATGAAAGACAACATGAATTTATTAATCCAGCGTATGTTGTGGTTCGTCGGATTTATTTGTATATTTATACAAATCGAGATTTATATCCTAATAAGATGTATTCAACGAACAACATATGTGATATGGGCTTCATAACTTTAGCCAGTAAATCACGATTTTCTTTTTTATTTATCGCATAATTATCTCAAATTAAGGCAGAATATTGATTTTATGACTTCGTCAGCTTCAATAATTCTCTACCGGCTTTCTTTCAGTGGCAAAATCTTTTTATTTGTGTATTATTTATTTCGTAATTTCACTTTCAAATCCATTTGATATTTGGGGTAATTATGTGGCTAACCACACAGATGTGTTATTTTCAAATATAAATCACACTACTTCTACTGTCAAAAGTAGTCATTTAGATTCTGTGTAATTTTATCTGAAATATTTACCGCTAAACTTTCATGGATTAAAAATTGGAAAATATGAATGTTATTTCGAGAAATACTTCAAGCTAATTTCCAGAAACTCACACGTGATTTTAAAACTCCAGTTTGTGATAACCCTAAAGTAAATGACACCAGTCATCCTCAACATGTACAAGGGCAAGAATTGGCAAAGCAAGGATGGCATTCCCACAGTTGAAGAACATATGGAAATCAGAACAACCATTAACCAATATCGAAGTTAGAATCTTCAACATGAACGTCAAAACAGTTCTAATGTACAGAGCTGAAACTCGGACAACTACCACAACCGTCATCAAAATTACAAGTATTTATGAACAACTGTCTACGCAAGATACTCAATGTTCGTTGGCCACATATCATCAGCAACAGCCTACTGTGGGAGAGAAAATGCCAGCTACCAGCTGGAGAGGAAATTAAGGGAAGATGATAGAGGTGAACAGGATATGTATTACAGGAATAATCAAGGACTGTCCGGGACAAAGTTGGGTGGGGAATCCTAGGGTAACAAACATAAGTAAATGGTAAAGAAAAGGACTTCTATCCAGAAAATTCACATTACTTTTCTGGTAATCATTCATTAATATACTTTAAAACATCTTTTTATATTATCAACCTAATCAGTATTGTATTCACTATGTACGACACTCATCAATCTTTCTTGTCCTGTGAATGTGTTTATTACTTGTTTACTTTAATAAAATCAACAGGAAATTAGTTTATCTTGTCCTAAAACAGTTTTCATTTGTTCATTGTCACTTTGTAGACAAACTATAAAGGAATAGAATACTTTGATTGCACATAACTCGTATAATGTACTCTTGTTACATGGACTTAACTAAAGTTCTTTTATCTATAATTTAGGCATATAATTTTTCCACAGGTATCTAAATACTGAAACCATTATTGTTATTTCCTCTATCTTCACTGTGGTAATGTGTTAGTTAGTTAGTTAAAGCCTAGGTTGAAATTGGTGAGTGGATTATGCTTATGTACCTATATTAATAAAGCAATGAAGCATAAACATTGATTCCATATGAGATGTCTTTTATTCGGTTGCTTAAGATTCTTCATAGAACATTAATAAGGAAAAAACAGGATTTTGTCTGAGCACCTCAGGAATATATCCTTTTGTTGATTGTTTAGAACGTATAAAAAAAACAGAACTCTAAGATGTCACCAAACAGTTGCAATAAATTTGTATACTACTGAGATTTGTTGACGAATGATAATCTGGTCACGGAGTATTGAATTAAAAATTAAACGATTTGGGATGTAATAGATAAACATGACAAAAATGAATTAGCCTTACAAGGGACCCAAGAGCAGTTGGATTTGTACTAGCAAGACTAATTTGATGTTATTTCATTTACACCTCTGAATTGTTAATTGTTAACATCGCTCACATAATTAACTAAGGAATTTTAAATCTGCAACGTAAACTGGTACTCAGTAACTGGCTCGTCTGAATATGAATTTCGTTAGTAAATGTCATGTTAATTTCATAACGCATCACATTTTACTTATGAGTTAAATATTGATATTTATAGCTTCAGGAGCAACTTCGATGGGTTCAAAGACAACTGGAGGAATCTTCCAACGTTAAAAATATGGTCGGGTCTCCAACAGCAAATAACTTGAGATTGGCAAAATTACGCAGTGAATTCTGTATTCTACTTAGACAGTTGAAACAACGATGCAGTCAAGGTGAACTAGGGATCGATTCTTCTCTAAGTGATTTCAACAATGAATTTCAAGATATGTCTTGTGAGTCCAAATTAAACTGTGCTTCAATATCAAAATCAGGAAACTCATCACCACAAAAATCCGCACAGACCACATCAGGCTATCCTTGCCTTAGCGGTCAGTTCAATGTAAAGCCATTTAAACTGGAACAAAATCCCACAGTTAAACGTTCAATGACTACTGGAGACTTCGATGAAGTAAGCTAGATGGTATAAATCAAATGGAAGTTTATTTGCAGACGATTTAAATGAATATTTTCGCTAGGATTTCTGAGAAATTGCTTCGTATGTAATGCAGCTTTATACTTTGGATATATAGGTTTAAAACTAGAATGACCGTAATCCCAGTAACCGATATCTTGTGGGTATGATAGGTACTATAATTACTAGGAAGCATATAACTAACTAAATCCATTAATACCCATAAACAATATAGAAAGTACAAGATATAACCTGGTGGGTATCGTCTATATAATGGCCTATCTTTGGATGCGAACTTGTAGAGGCTAATTTATTTAAAAGCAAATCAATACCATAGTATTGAATGAAATTCTATACAAATAAAATGTAGTTTGTACTAACTTGTGGCTATGTGCGTCAATGAACTAATTAAAACATTCCCTTTATCTTCAAGTTTGACAACGCCTGTGAATAAGATTGCTAAATGGAACTTTCTATGGTAGTCTGGCTATACCATAAGTTTATGAGTAACCTTACATCGCACTTAATTCGACCCTAAATATCAGGAAGCGGATGAACAAGGTATAAACACTTCGCGAACGCAAGGTTCAAAATACCAAACAAGATTACTAAAATAGGTACTGAGTTTGTGATGAATAGTTCTTTATTCCTTGAGACACCTGCCTATTTTTCTTAATGGTGTATTAGTATCGCGATTCGATTATAAAACAATTCTGAACACTTTTACGGATACTAGGACTAATCACCAGCTAATATAATCTTTATCATTATTTAACTTTTTAACAGGACCCAGATTTTTACATCACAGGACAGCCAGAAGTTGATGATTTTGAGGATATCGACTCCAGTGAGTCAGAATTCGCCTTGAAGGATGCCTCGAATATGATATCTGACAACTTATTTACAGCGACCCATAATTCAAATGTAAACGAATCTATGAAGGATTACAATAATCTAAACGATCCATACAAACAGAATACAGTTAACGATAATGAAGGTGAATTGCATAAAAAATGCAAACGCAATCGAAAGAACACATTCACCTCTGGGCGACGTCGTCCCTCAAAAATAGCAGCAGAAGTGATTAGCGTAAACTTCATGCCTAGTCGCCGTGGTTCGCTAATGGCACACTCTGCCGTTCAAGGACACAATAAAAGCAAAAGCTTACTAACTCAGTTCATGAACACTGTAACCAAGGGTTCAACTTCCAAATTGCCAAGAGAATGATGTTCAGTAGTCGACAGGTTAGTATAAACTCACAGGATTTCGTAATAAATTGTCATTTCAAAATGAAAAACTGGCAATTCCGGAAGCATTAGTAGTAGCAAACCACATGTTTTTCAAACAGATAATCCTATCTCAAGGTGCTTCAAGCGTAGTTGCAACGCAGATTATTTGGTCCTAAACTTGCTATATGGATTTCAATAGATGTAACGTACCAGTACGGTACAAGCTAATAATAACGAGCTCCGGTATAAGTTATATAGGTGCAATGTAGACACCCGTTGCTTAAACCGGACCAACTGTTGAAAGTCGTGTTCAAACTAATGGCTAAAGATACACAATACAATAATTCATTACATCACTCAAAACACAGGATAACCCTAATTTTCATCCAGACTAGATAGGTCGATCATTTTGTTCTAAGATAACTGGTGTTTTAGCTTAAGGGATTGGATGTACAATTTTGAAAGACTGCTATAACTTCATAGCCTAAAAGTCCTGTTTATCATAATAGTCATTTAAATTTCATTGAGTTCATCAAATACTTAAAATGTCTTTTAACAATTATTTTATTATTACTGCTTGATTTCTTTCAGATATACGCACTTCATAAGTCGTTATCGATTAAAGCGCCATACCACAGAACAGAGAGGATACTTGGTAAATACGCTAATTCCTACACAGTACCCACTGTATATAGTGTTGTTCAGAAACAGATTTTATGAATGTATAGTGATGCAATTTGAACGTATAAAACATACCCTTCCTACTAAAAACCCGAGCTTAATTAGCATTCATTTAAGAAATAAATCATTTATACAAAACTTTTATTGTTGAAATAAAATTGTGGGGATAGTACTCGATGATTAGACATATACATAATATGATAGGTTTTAGTAGCGCATCGGAGGACCACGACCACGTCCTCGAGGTCCACCGCGTCCACGGCCACGAACAAGACCGCGACCTCGTCCACGAATAGTAGGACGTTCTGAAAAGATACATATAGTTACAAACTATAAGTGGGAAGAAGTTGTACAAAAAGTGTATATACGTAGGAGTTTAGGTTCATTTAGACACTTGAGATACATACGTTGATGGTTCCAAATACTACCTAACTTTCAAAATGAAGTGAGTGCTGTGATTTTTAAACTATCTTATGAATTGAAGAAAAGTTTAGCAGGTATTATTTATCGGCAAGATGCGGTCCAGGTCATAAAACACAAATGCTCTTCTCAGATCACGGATGATAGAAAAATTTAAGCGTTATGTCGTCTGAAGATGTTTTAGTTGTCAAGCTTTCACTGTCTTTACAGACAACATTATCAGCACATGACACACAAATGTGAGCTATTAGAATTTCTTTACAAGTGGATGACGGCTCGTTCCATCGATATAGAATGTGATTGGTTGTTGCTGTCGTTGTTGACATGTTTTTTTACAAGAGTCATTCAGGTCAAAGAAAAAAGTATTGCTAAAATAATTCTGAACTACGAATTTTCTCCATCCCCTAGAAGTTATTCAAAAGTTATTTTTTACGATCTATTCTACGATATTTCGAGTTGTCGCTCTCCATAAAACCACTGAAAACCCACTGTTTGCAAGTAACCAAGAAATTAATAGTCTAAAATATAACTAAAACAGTTACTGAATTACCTTCCCGTCCAGGTTTTCTTTTCGGAGGGCCTTCATCAATTAAAAGTGTGTCAAGTGGAAGACTTTCTGGGAGAATGAAATATCGGATATTGTTTCCGCGAACAGTCAGTGTGTCCAAGTTAATCGCATCCCGATTTTTAAGCGTCAAAGTAACGGACCTCATATGTGTATTCATTGACACATCAACTCCAGCAATACTTCCGTGAACCTGCGTACCGTTTTTTAGTTCAATGGTTACCGTCTCATGGGACAATTTCATAAGAAACCTTAAATTATTTGAAAATAAAATAATGCACATTACGCCTGTATCATGACTACGAAAACAGTGCTGAATTCGGAAAGAGCTATGAAATAAGTAATTACATCAACTACAAAAAATATTTGGGAGTCTTGTGTAGGAGTCAATGTCTAGATTAATAACTATCAATAGCTACCTATAGTTGCGAATCATCGTCACATGTTTACTTTTAGGATTGTCTAAACTGTTTGTTGAGGAATGAAATAACTTTCTACAATCGACCATCATGGAATGTGCCATATGAAAAGAGATGACGGTTTTGCGGAATGAGATGGAAATCGTATAATAACAAGCATACCAAAAGTCAGATCTCAATATTAAGAACTCACTTGCGTCACTTCGCGTTTATAGCGCTATCAATGAAATTATTGCCCTATTTTTATCATAACGGCAGTTATTACAAAGCTATAGCTCATATACATCTATATCATGAGGATTAGCGTTTAATTAACAATGAGGTGGAGAATAATTAACTCATAGAAAGTGACAAATTTGACAAATGCATGATCAGGAGGTTCTATATTGTCTTGTTTGTCATGAGAACATCAACTTATCAAGTGGATATGCCGAGACCACAACAAACAGAGTACAACAGATAAACTAATTTACAACCAAATCAGCAGTGTAAGCATAACAATCAGCCAAGATGAATTTCTTAATTATTTCGGTTGCGATTCGGAGACAGAATACAAGAGATATTTACACTATGGTACCATACTTTGTTTCCTTAGAATTATTGGGGGATATTACAAGTCAAATAAGATATTTATGTACAACCTTGAAGACGTCACGTGAGACGGAATATGTTTAATGAACATCGAAACAAGAAGACACTTGTACGCTTTTACGTGAACATCCTCATTATTGAAACCTTGTCAACAATAAACATGCTTGAAAGCACATTTAGTGACAAATAAAACAGCCGACATTTTCAGTGTATCATATAGGAAGCCGCTATCAAACCTTAAAAATGATAGCACTAGGGAAATTTAGTAAATGTCTGCTTTTTCAAATCAAAGGACATTTTAATCAATAAATTCACAATAATACGTTGCTTGTTTTATATTCGAATGCATTAGTCAGATGTCAGGTCATGAATAACTGAATAGTATGTGCAACTAGGTATAACGGTCTTGTGAACCTGGGAATTAAACAGCTGCAAGAAAACCATGACCATAATGCACACAAGCCCTAGTTCATGTGTATTTTGTTGTCTTCATTTATCCTTGTATTCAAGTTGTCTTTATCCGTCCACGTCGGGCTTTGCTATTAGTCAACTTCTATGTTGGTTTATTTATTAGATCTACCTTGATGCGCCTATTGCTTGCTGATTGACATGAAGGCCATGCTTTTAGGAATTCTCTGGGATTCCTAAAGTTTCCCGGTTTACAATTCTAAAGTTTGTTCAATTGAATTTATGTCCAAAGTTGCTTAAATGCATTAATATCAGTGTTGTCCAAAACGAGAATGAAAGCTCTGCAACTAAAACATCCTACTTATACAGCACGACCCCATAGAAAACTACCGGTGTTATTAGAGTTCATAGTCATAAATACTGAGACATTTAGTGGCAAAAGCACTTAGGAAACTAGATGAGAACTAATTCATCCAAAATTACACAAGTCTATTGCTAGGAATTAACTACTGATTGATATTAGACCACCGTTGGACACCTGGAAGCCCGACGGCCGTTTCGTCTTATTGTGAAACTCCTCAGCAGTGTGCATCCACGATCCCCCCACGGAATTCGAACCCAGGGCTTTCAGTCTCGCGCGCGAACGCCTAACCTACTGGACCACTGAGCCGGCATCTAATGGTGTTATTGTCTAACATCAATCAATCCACGAAATTGCGCGACCATCTGCCATTGTACTGAGGTAGATTTTGAGCCATGTCATTCAGGGTCTCTAATCATCGGTTGCTATCATCTCGCAGTCCCCAACCAGGTAGTCTACACCCACCAATATGACTCAGTCTACTTGTCAGTGACTTCATGGACTTGTACCATGTTTTGGTCTGGCCGCCCCTAGCTTTCTTCCAATCTACTCCTATACAACAAAACATCGCACATCGAGGCAGTCGGTGGTTGGGCATACGTAACACATGTCCCATTCTTGAATTATGCCCAGTCTATCGATTACTATTTCTCACATTCACAGCCACATTTGGCTATTTCTTGCACAAATGTTGTTTCCTATTTCATGGTACGATGTGGTCTGTCTGGTTGGTATATAAACCTAGTATGTTTGAAATAAATGATTCATATCGCAGAGGCTGAGATTGGTGTTCTGCACTTAACTGGCTGGACTATGAGGGAAGCGGGACCGATAAGGACTCTAGACTGCTCATACTTGTTTTATGCATCACTGGTCCGATCGATAATTCACTGTTCTCTAATTAGCAGTATCATCACGTTATACATTAACAGGGCACACAGGCCACAAGTTATAATAAAACCTCACCAAGAGTTGGGCTGACATCAGTTTGCTTGAAGATAGTGGATAAATGGAGTATGGCTGAAGGCCAGTTGAACTGTTCCCTAAAGCGTTTTACCCATCGGTTCAATCTCCTGGATTAAAAGTGAATAATAATCCCGTCTTTTCTCGAGTTTCATTGACAGACGGGGCTTTAATACCCGTCTCCTTTGTGTCTGAACAGTTGTTTACTTTTACCCATCGCTGCTTCCTTTCCCATCTCTTTTGCTCCCGCTACCCACCACTGCTTACCATCACTACGTAAGGTTATTATTAATCTGCGTCTAAGTTGCCTTGGTTCCTCATACTGTCCTGAGTTAGACGGGATGAGTTCCCGAGAACCTAACAGTTCTGTAGACGCCACTGAAATTCACTAATTTTTCTTCTTTTAGTTTAAGTTACCAGAAGATATCGCTGTTTCCACATCCTTTTGGATATCATATCAAGCTCCCTCGGGGTGGACATCATTTACACGGTTGATTCGCACATGTACTAGTTGTGTTTGAGATATATTCTCGACTCAAAGAGGTTTTCTTGTTGTGGCTTTTCTACGTCCGGTAAGACGCAGAAAATACGTGCTCGAACTAGAGCATAATCTGAGTCTAAACATGTGCTTCAGAATGAGTGACAGTCACCAACCGAGCCCCTTCAACGATGGCAAATAGCAATATGATCTATTTGAGTCCACTAATGAGTGGACTGTGGAGGTCGCCACTTCAGACGTTTCTCTTCATGCTTAAAATTGATGTTTGCCAGAAACAGAGGGTTATTTGAGCATTGTTGCAACAGACGTTCACTATCATGTTAGCTGAGCCGCACCACCGTAAAATCCGCATAAGTACCTTTCAGTTTCGTTTGGTTTACCTACTTAAGCATTATAATCACCTGTCTCCAGATACTCGAAGGGTAAATTGTTCCGGCTTTGGCTTTGGTTTCAGGAGACCAAGAATAACGCTTTGTGAACACAGATCACTAGCATTGAGGGAGAGTGATGATTAAGATAAATGAGAAGGGTTAGTCGTGGGAGTTGAAGTATTATTAAACTGTGGGGGAGGGATTCAGTTGTTGAAATGATGATCCAGGGTGCTGATACAGGTATGAGGGCGACAGTCACTTCCCGGCATCCCACACTGTGGAAGGATATTTCTTCTGGAAGGACCCAAAAAGGAAGCTAAATTAACGGTGACCTTAGCGACTTGAAAGCGCGACTGTAGAGCGTAAGAGAGAACTGCTTGGGGCCGATTTAGCACAACCTATTCATATGAAGTTTTTGATGCTAGCTTTGTACTTTCAAAAGCCTTAACCTCGGAAACTGAAATCCTTAGATTTTCGTTAGACTTTTGGTTAACCTAGATTTGATTTGTTGTCGCTCTTCATCGTGTTCAGAGCCTGATGGGATGAGTTTACGACAAACCATCAGTGCAACAGACCTAGAGGAAATTCATTGGTTCTTTATAACCCTGTGGTTTAAATCACTGATAGATGTCACTGTTGTTTCCACAGCTGTTTATATAGCTTTCCAAGCAACACCTGGGTCAACCTCATTTCCAGAACTACCTAAGTGTGACCTCATTTGTTCCTGGAACTTTGGTTTTCTCGCTACTCAATTCAGTTCTAATGGGTATTTTTACTGAGGCTTTTTTGCGTCCAGTGAGGCGCAAGCAGATGCGTGCTCGTGTTAGGGCATGGTCGGAGTCCAAGCAGTTACTCCAGAATGAGTGACAATCTTCTACCGACCCTCTCCAACGATGAATGATGGCAATACGGTCTATTTGAGTCTATTGTTAGTTTGGTGTAGGGGGTCGCAATGTTAGACGATGTCTCTCCTTATGCTTAAAATTTGTGTTTGCTAAAAATAAACGAGTCTGAGCACAGTTGCAGCAGACGATCACCACTATCTGTTTGTTGTGCCGGAATACTAAAATACCCACCTGAATGCCTTTCTGTTTGGTTTAAACTACCTATCTGGGCATTAAAGTCACCTTCTAGGAGTACTATGTCTGAGCGTTTAGCTTTCTGAAGAAGTTCAGATAGCTTTCTGCAAAATTCATCTTTCACTTCATCTGAGCTGCAGTCGGTGGGAGCGTAGGTAGAAACGACAAAAAGGCAACGACGTGTGTCCCTATCCTTCCGAGTTCTTACGGAGCCGTTTATCCGAACAGCACATAAACGACTGTTAACAGGGATTCACTCCAACAGTGCATGTTCCGCCCTCATGCTTAGTGCTATCCCTACTCCTGCTAGTCCACGAGAGCTGGCCGTCGGGTCACCAGATACACGGAGGGTGTATCTCGTTGGGTCTCCGTTTTGCCGAGGTGAGGTCAAGTGAATGATTACACTGGGATCCTGTATGCGTGTTTCAGAGACGGCATACATCAATGGTACGAGATCCTAGGGTCCTAGCCAAGGAAGCCTGTTGACTGATATGACATAGGGTGCGTACGTTGATTCGTCTACAGTCAACTGAAAACTGCCGATTTTACTAACCTCCTCGCAATGTCGAAAGAGTTTATGAGCTAGGTACTAGAACATAAGCAAACTTAATTACTCGACTGTGATACGTATATCTTCCAGTCTAAAAATGTTCTATGCTCTGAGATTCGATTAGTCAGAGGTATGAAACTGACTCACCATGAAAGCCATGTTATCGAACTAGGTCTCTGGCATGACGATTGGGGTTTGTAGAGGGACTAATTTTATGGTAGGAAAAGGACCGGTACAACTTGATTTTAAGGCTGGATACTTGGGAGGAAATACAGCCGTATCTAGTAAAGTTTTTATGCCTTAGTAACCCTAAACCATAAGCATGCATTGAAATGGACTTTATACTGTCACGAGGACTTCACGTTATTATTGGACAATCGGCCAAATGTAGTCCGATTTCAAAGTGATTTACAGGCAGCAGTTTGAAGGTTTGGTGAGACTATAATTCATAGACAACCTCTGAGTGCACTCTGTGATGAGATTAGGGACAGAACGCGCAAAAACGCATCGAAATCAAGTAGAGAAAAGCAAACGAAATTCTTACTCGGACTTAAGGATCGACTTTGTGGATGGCTTGGAGTAACTGAGCGAGGTCAAAACAGCAACAATAAGAATCTTACGTCAATGGTATGTCTAAGTGTTGGCGTTTCAATCAAAACCGGAAAACTCCATTGTGCATTCAGATGAAGGCCTAATTGTGAAAAACCTGTCCCTATTTATAAAAGAGGGATCAAATCATTTAAGAAGTTTTCTAATTGGTAGTTCTGTAGCCATCTATTTGGGAAACCACTGATTTTAGTCAGTTAAGCATATCTGTTTCACTTTTGGTTATTTAAAGCTGTCTGATATAACCAGCTAACGTTCGCCTGAGCATCTAGACAACTAGATGCAAAATAACGACAAACCACTCCACTCACCTCACAAGCTTCATCCTTGAATGACCCACTTAAACAAGTATCATTGGAATATTCTAACAAATAATATCCGATACTTTGATTTTGTGTTCACTAATAGTTTATATCAACTCAAGTAGCTTTTCTAGCATAAAAATATTATAATGATGTATAAAGAATTGTAAACTCTGAAAACTATCATTGAAATCGACATGCGACATTAGCAGCGATACTCGTTACATCCCAATTACAGGACAAACTACATCCTCTTAAAAAGCTGAGAGTGGGTTGAATCATGGGATAGACTGTGGAAAAATCGGTTTTCCAAGTAGCTCTCATTGATGACTGAGAGGGCTAGCAGCGACTGATATCATAACTGTGATTTCGGACGATTTAATTCAAAAACCACTCCCGATCAACACCTCTTGTTACACATCAGCAGCTATACAATTAGTACGATAAGCACCGATGTATTTTCAAAAATCAGCGTAGTGGGAGGCCAAAATTTACTTTCTTGTGACTGTTGAAGACATTCCAAACCAAGACTGAAATTACCCCTCCACGTTGCTATCAATTTTCACATTAGCTATTCGGAGTGAGATATAATGAGCAAAGTTTCGAAAGGCCTATTCATAAGTCATGAATTCTCTCCTTCATATTTCAAAGGCTGTCTGATAGTATACCAAGACAAAGAAATCCATTCACAACTCTCGACCAGGGATTTTTTAAATCGTACAAACAAGACATTGCTACAGACACGTAGAAGTGTCCAGTTAGAACAAATTACCGAAAATCCTTTGAACATACCACTGACATCAAGGGATCGTGCTTTCTAAAAACAAAGGGCTAGCTGGTCTAGAGTTGTCGGAACTTATTACAATTTCGCTACTCATTACATCTAACGGGTTAGTAGATTTCAATCAAGTCCTCTTGGGCCCCTCTGGTTTTGTTACCAGTTCTAGGCCAGGGTAAAAGAGGAGCATTGGACATCACGTTGACAACTCCACCTTTTTAAAAGAAGCTAGCTAAAGAATACCAACTGGAAAAAATCGTGTATACTACCTGAATTCTGTTCTTGGTGCTAAACGCTTTTTATGCGAGAAACTAACGATGCCTCATGGTGAAAGCAAACGTCCTGGATACAGACGAAAGAGACGTCAGCTCTTCACTTTTCTCTTATGTCTTCCATAGACGTGAATACTTTACTAATACAGATGTGGCTTCTCGTAGTGTGATTTAATGAAATTCGCATATGTAGCCGTGATGTTGAGAGCTCAAGGTTTTGTTAGTTTACCGATAATCTCACTCCTTTCTTTTGGTTCATTTACGCTATAATACGTTCACAGCCTATGTTGACCACATCGATTTTGACACTTAGATCTTCCACTGCGATAATCTAGTGTTTACCTGGGGATTTCTCCACAATAGGATTCATTTTTACATAAAACTGGTATAAATCATGTCCCTCGTTATCATTGACGAGCGCGTAGAGCTGGATGATATTCCCTGTAAATTCTCCTTTCATTGAATTAAACAATATACTGATTATCCTGAAGCTATAAACCTTCCAGTCTACAAAGGTTTTTCATACTTTTCTGAGAAAAAGTAGTACAATTCATTGTGTGTACCGAGCGTCTTCGTGAAGAAAATGTAGCAAGTGTTACGGGAGGACTGAAAACATTTAGCTGATTAGAAACTTTATATTGAATACCATTAATTTCACTGTGCTTTTTGATTGTATTTGTTTTACTCAACTTCTGAACATGTTTGTTTATATCATTATTTTCGGACACTATGGTTTCTTTTTGTCTTTGGTTTGGTATTTGGGAGATTTTGCTCCGGGAACCTACAAAGTTGAAGGTTTATTTCTGTTATTGTTATAGTTATTGTTAGAACGACATCTGGATCGACTATTTGTAAATTGTGAGTTAGCTTTGGTACCTAACTTAGAATTTGGTTTTTTGTTAATTTTGGTCCACAACTTGCAAATAGATCGATATACCGTACTTCAACAACGGGAACGAGCAAAAAATTGGACGTAACAGTAAGAGCTTTAGCGAAGTCGGTGTTTTTTGTCCAGGTTGGTGTCGGGAGTTTCATGTCGGATATGAAGCCAGCTTCGGGTGAAACCAGTCTAGTAGCAAATGTCGTGAATAAACTTTTGTGACTTCCATCCATGGGTATTACACTTTGAGAAAAGATTTTAAAGTGTTGGCTCCTTACAATCTGAAGACTTACGCTAACTGTGAAAAAATGCCTTTCGAGCAAACGTTGCACTGGTAAGGTTGAAGCATGCTATTCCTCCTAACCTTCAAAAGTTTTATAAGATCCCATTTACAGCACAGAAATTTATTGCTTCCTCCGTCACTCCAAAAGGTTAAAAATAGACTGGAACGTATCCAACGATGAGCCACGAACTCAGTTCGAGAACCCTAATTCAAACCTTGTGAAGAGAGTATCAAATCATTGAACCTTTGCTCACTAGAGTATAGGCGTATCAAATGTGGCTTTCTAATGACCTCTGGCATCCTAAACACTTCTGATTACCCCTCCAACCACTTATTTGAGCTCACTCGGAACACGAATCTTAAGGATATTATTTAGAGATGTGGAACGTACCATGGCAGAATTGACTGTTGAGAATTAATTTAACTTTTACGAGTACTCAAATTTTGGAATTTGCTGCCGGCTGATGTGGTCCAAAAGACTCATTAGGAGTCCTTCAGGAGAAAACCTCACATATCACTAAGAAGTCAGGACAATATTGCACCATAACCCATTGATCTTTTTATCGTTAAATATACCTAATTTCCTAGTCGAAGACATCGGTGGTCCGCTGCTACTAGATACGGTAGCTGATAAAGCAAAAGCTACCTCCCGCGCGCTACGGACTGGACGTTACTTTCAGGCCGAGGTTTTTAGTTTCACTTTTCTAGGATTCTCGCATAGCTGGATGAATTATTTTTTCTTGGAATTATGGAAAATAACTCTATTCTTAACTATTAGCATATAAACTGTGAATTTCATGCCATATGATAAGTTCTGAGTTCAACTTACAGTATTTATGATCATATTCATACAATAATTCATAATCATATGATTACATATATTCATTTTGACTATACGATCAAACTATACTTTGAAACCGTATATAATCATATTTGACGAAGATTTGCATTTCATATCTGTATTCTATTTCTTAAGGAATATATGATTATATCGTATTTGAATGCTTTAACCCACGTACTTTATGTATCTACAGGATCTATTCAAACCTCTACCTAATATCAAGAAATATATATAACCGTGTATGTTAAAGGACTGTATTCACTATTTTATTAACTATCATTTAAATCGTATTTGGATACTATAAATTATTTCATTTCCGAAATTACCTGTCCAATTCGGTGAGTCTGTCATAGTTTGTTTTTTTGACAGTGTTTTTTTCCAAAAAGCTGTTTCATATATTTGTTCAAGAAGCAACATAATAACTTTAGACGGTAATAATCTTCTAAACTACTTATCTCTGCACCTCCCAATTTTTACTAATACGGACTTTCAGTTTATATATGTATCACATACCGTACTTTTTTTGATTGTTTGATACTAATTATCGACATTTCTAAATTACTTTACTATATAAGGCTATCTTTCGTGTCATATATGTTAAAATTTATACAACTTGCTCCTTTATATTCTATTTTGCCTCCACACAGATACTGACATAAATACTTCATCTCCACTACTATCTTCCTGCCATTGTCATCTTTTGTTTTTAACACCACTAATCCTCACGATACATTCACTCTTGGTTAAAACATAGATTTTGATTTTTAGACTAACTTGAGCCCTCGGAATTGATTTTTTCACCCCTATTTCCAACATTCTGTTCAAACCACTTGCTATACGTCACTTTATCATGTCACAAAAGAAAATGAAGACCCCTGCTCCTAGGCGTTCAGCCAAACGTAGGAAAACGACACAATTTAACACCTCTACCGATACGATTTCCAACAGTTTCAACGAGACGTGCCACTCCGTTCATCCGGAAGCAGACAGGCTTTTACCAGTTGTCTCCATTCCAGACATGTTGAAAACTCTGATGGTAAACAGTGATGATAATCGCAACTGCAACTATATGGATGCTATAAAGAAGTTGCAAGTAGACATGAACATTCTCAATCCGCTTAAATATCTCATCAACCCCAACCTCACAGAGACTCCAGATCAAATGAATGACATAAATATTTTCCTAGATCGTGTTGCATCAGAGGTATTTGAAAGAATAAGACGATCTAGCAATGCAATTGTGTTTAATATACCGGATACACATGCCCTTAAAAATATCAAATCTAGTCTGCTTAGAGCCAGCAATATGACACACGTACCATGTGTATGCACAAGATTAAAAAGAAGTCATCCTGGTATGCACTCACCGATCTTGTTCAAATTCAACTCATCTGTAGACGCCAGTGAATTTTTAAATTCCTCCAATTCATTGAGACAAAAACAGATTTTCAAGGATATTAAGACTCTTCCGGATAAAACACCATGCCAGCGAAAAGCAGGAAGAGATAACTACAGACCATCAGCTTCAAACTCTCAAATGCATCATAATCCTAATGGTTGTAACGTTAAGTCCGATTCTAAGAGGACGTCTAGCTTAACAACTTTGCCGCCACCAAAAAACTCTTCTGAATCTCATAAAGTTCAAAACCCAGAAGAAAGTAATCCCGATGTAGGTGGTGTCCATCCTCTTAAGAATGTTGACTTAGATTCAACCCGAAGTAGTTGTGCTGATGAAGAATGGGATAACACAATCCAAACCCCTGTTAGTGCAACACCCAGTTACAGTAACTGTGCAACGGATAACAGGAAAACTAATCATAACATTCATATAACTGACCACGCACTTAACGTTGATATATTCGAACCTCGCAAACCATCGCAAGTATGTTTAACAGTACACAATCCTCTCCAACTTATGAAGAAGCCGAAATCAACCACAAACCTTGGAAATAAACGTCTTAAACACGTT